GACCCCAAATGTCACTATGAATCAAGTAAAAGGGAGTAGAACTTCTTTTGTTACTGATTGGAAAAGACACACGTCTATGTTTTGCAAATTCACAAATATCACAATGAAAATCTTCAACATTTAATCCTTTGAACAAAGAAGGAAACATGTTTTTCAAGGTTACAAAAGAAGGATGTCCAAGACGAAAATGATAAAGCCAAATTTTGTCTTTATTGGAAGATTTTTCAGAAAGAAATGACAAAGGTAAACTATTTTTGATACTACTTGTGCTATTTGATGTCTCAAGATAGTATAGTCCATCCTTCTCCTTAGCAAGTCCAATCATCTTCCCCGAACTCTGCTCCTGAAATTCACAATAAAAGGGATAAAAAGTTACTTTGCAATTCATATCTCTGGTAAGTTTTTGTATAGATATCAGATTAATAGATAATCCAGGAACATGAAGAACATTTTTTAGAACAAACAAGGGATTAACTTGAACATCTCCTAATCTTGCCACTGTGGTAAGTGAACCATCAGCAACAACAATTTTCTTATTACTAGGACACAGGTTATATGTACTAAACTTTTGTGAAGAATGTGTCATGTGGTCTGTGGCTCCTGAGTCAATGGCCCAAGAACTCGTAATAGGCTTAGCCGAGACATTTAATCCATGAGAACCAGAAGCTTTACCTGAACTAGAAACTTTACCCAAAGAACATACCATAGTAGGCTTTTCAAGGATTTTCAATAAGTTTCTCAGCTTTTCAATCTCTTCCCTGTTGAACTCTCCTTGTTTCTGAGACATCTGTAGTACTCTAGTGATTTTCCCAGTTAACATTTTCTCAAATTGAGTGGTAGTGATATCTTTCTTTGAAAGGGTTCGGCAATGAAGGCCTAAACAGGATTCAGCAATGAAGGCCTAAAAAAGTCAGCAATGAAGGCTGAAAATTTTGCTTCCCAAGAAGAGCCTAAAGCTCTGATACCATGTGGAAACTGAATGTATATTGAAAAACTGCTTATCTGAATTATACAAGAATCTTAGGTTTATATACAACTAACTAGGGGTTAAACTAGGAAACTAAATCTTCCTTAATTCTAGGGATACAAATACTTAATTCTAGAGATACAAATATAAATATACAGATTACAAGATTACAACCAGCTGTAAATAAGTGTTTTCCCACATGGAGTAATTAATAAAGAAAAATAATAGACATTATGCAAAAGCCCCTTATTGAGGGTCTAATGAATGTTACAAATACCTTAGCAACAAGAACACATAGGGTTAAAAAGTGTTCAATTCACAGATTTGCACTGCCTTGATGTCCTCGTGCAGCCTCAGTATCTGCAGCCTTAGCACAAGAGCCATCATCAATTTGATATAAACGATTAAATGAATAAGTTAGCCAAAGCATACAAATTAAATTTACTCCAAAATAAGTATGGATAAAAGGGAATCGAAGTACATTGCCGAAGCTGCTTCTGACTACAAAAATGCTAGCAAACATTCCCCTTGTTCCAAGTCAAGCTTCATAGATCCAGTTGGAGGCAGCAGATCTCTAATTTCTAAGAGCATCGATAGATCATGATTTTGTTTACACAAGCAAGACTGATTAGAACAATGATGTAAATTCAGAAGCAGAGCCCTGAAACACTTGATCACTCCTTCACGAATTCTTCTGATGCCTTAGATGGAGAAAGCAAAGCAGCATAAGTCAATTTTTTCAGAATCACAACCATCTGTGACTAGACAGCATCACATCTCATTAAGCTTAAATGAATCTTAAAATATTCAGGTAACAACAACATTACCATTCTAATATATTGGTTAACACAAAAAAATACTACAGAAAATCAACCCATAAACAAAAGGCTAGCCTCAACTTTCTCACAGAAATAAGAAAAAACTGAATTCTAGAAATAGACCTCCCCATAGGAGACCATATTCACGCCAGACATTAAGGTTCAACACTTGAAGAAGTAAAACTAAAACAAAAATAAAAAGACAGATAAATTTCCTACCTCGGGGTGACGTAAGTCCTAGAAATCTTCTTTTTGATGTCATTCTTGTTAAGAATAAATCTCATATCCCATTTTATTACTAAACCTCAATTTGGTTGTTATTTTGCTACTTGGTTTTTGTTTAACAAAAGCAAAAGACAGGTTTGGATATTATATATATATATATATATATATGATTTATTAAATACAAAAGGCATATATCTTTCATGGATAACAAAATGCATGATTTTACTTTATATGGAACAAATATGTTTGAACTAATGTTTCATTTGCATTATAATTTCGTTCAAGGTGTTTGATGAATTGTCCAAGTATCATCTTACACTTCTTTTGCCTATTTCCTTTTTCCATATTGAGAAGTTTCGCTTATTGGGTTTTTCTCATTTTTGCTTTCTATCCTCAGGCACAGCCTTTTAATACCAGGTGAATCCTATCCTCAGTGATCCTTGCGATTTCTCGATTGCATTTCTCATATTCAAACTCAAGGTAGTAGTAGTAGTAATAGTAGTAGTACATAGATGAGAATTAGAAAAGTAAAATAAAACAAAATAAGAGAAAGAAAGTTACATAGATGAGAAAAGAAAAGGGGAAATTGACCTGATCCACCAAACGCAAATAGCATTTATTCATAAGCTCTTCCAAATACTCCACCACTCCTACTTTGTCACTAACTCTTTTATTATTATTACTTTCATTTTTATTCTGTGAGCTTCTGCAAGCAACTTCTGCATCCAGCAAAAGCAGCCATGGAAACAAAGTGTAGCTACAAAAAAAATTAAAATAACAATACAAAAATCAAATTCAATATCCTTAAAGTAATTGCTTTGATATCTTTTAACTCCAGAAACAAAAATTAGTAGTACAGAAGTAGTAAACATAACAACTAAATGAAGTTTAAAAATTAGAAAAAAAAAAAAGAGAAATAATAAAAAGAAGAAGAGGAGAAAATGAGGAATTGATTACTCGAAGAAGGGCTGGAGAGAAATGGACGGAGAAGAACGAAGCAGGTGGAGTAATGCCTGAAGAGCGGAAGCATGTTTTTTAGGGTTTTGATAAAGTTCTAGAAGCTCTAAACAGTAGGATTTTAGCTACAAAAATATCTTGCTTCTTTCTTATTCTCCTTCCTTAGATTCCATGGAACCACCAGTGATTCTAACAAAACTTTCCATCATATCCATTCTGCTTCTATATAAAATCTACAATCTGGATGAATCAAAAAGAAAAGAAAAGAAGAGAAAGTGTTACAGAGAGAAAGAAGAAACGGAAAAAGGGGTGAGCAGTGGTGAAGCGGCCCAAGGCCAAGAAGAGACGCGATTGGATTCTGATTTGTAGATCGTTAGTTAACGGGTAATTTTATATTATATTTAATTTAAATTTTTAAAAAATAAAATTATAAATAAAATTAAAATGATTTAATTTTTTTGAAGTAAAAAAAATTATTTTTAATTTATGAGATTAAATTTATATATTTTATTATATTTTTAAAAATTATATCAATAATTTAAATTATATAATTTTTAAAAAAATAATTTTGATAAATAAATAAATTATTTTATTTTAATCTTTAAATATATAAAATATAAAATAATATTATTTAATATAATTTTATTTATAACATTATTTTATTTTATTATAATTTTATGTATCAAATATTTTCTTATAAAATACTTTGTATTTATGCTTCTCTTTTCTATATATATCAAGCATAAATATTTTCTTTTATAAAAAAATAATAACCTTGAAATTAAAAAATTTTAAATATCAAATTATAAATTTACTAAATACTAACTTTTAAAAATAGCAACTCATCTTTCTACTTCAATCAAATGCAATAAACTAACCAATTCAAACTACCTTATGTTTATATCTATATAACTCTATATAAAAAGTATCCCAAAATATTAATAGCTTGAGAGCTGTCTTTTATTGGTGGATTGCTTCTAGTGTTTTCTTTGCCGTTGGGTTGCTTCATTCTAAGCCTTGGCAGCGTAAGTTTTTAAATTTTGAATTTAATTTTTTTATATTTGGAAGCTTATATTATTTTTAAGAGAATTGATGATTGTTTTGATAATTTTACCTTTCATTGCTCGACGACAAGTACAAATATCAATAGTCATCTCATTTTGATAAATAATTATGTATATATTATTATCATATAATATAATAAAATATATATTTAAAATTTTTATTAATAATTACTTATCACATTGTTCTATAGTTTATTCTAAGTATTTTCATAAGCATCTACCATATAAATATTTTTCTCACTCTATTAGATCCTAAAAAAATAAATTATGGATCATACACTATAACGTCAAAAATAAATTATTTTCAAAAAGATAAAAAAAATTTATCATCGATAATCATTTGAAAATTAATGATTATTGTTTATTTGTTATGATAATACACGATACTTTTAAAATAATTATCTATCTTGATTATAAATAAATTTTTCAATAATAAGTTATAGCTACAAACTAAATATTTCATTAAAAGTTTTTGTTTCGCACATGTTTTATTTAAGAATTTATAACTTTAAAATATACATTTAATATTTTTTTATTTAGTTTTATAGTAAATTTTTTTTTGTCAATTATTTTAACAAAGCTTTATACACTTAACAATACTAACTTTACATTAAATTATTCTAAATTATAATTCAATCAAATATTAATATTAAAAATTAATTTAACAACAAAATCAGATCCAACACTAGTTACGATAAAATTAGACATAATTAGATTGTCTCACTTTAATCAATTGACATCGGTACATTTAAGGAGTGTATATATCAAGTCAGATCGTCCAAAATCATTCCCATGTATCCTATAAAAGCTTATCTTATTGTCCCAAACAACCGTATCCCTCTTATTCAGGTTCTCTTTTTTTTTTCTAAACATTTCCTTGGAACTCACCTCCTCCACTTGGAGCATTTGATCAGCATCACCATGCCTGAATTTATAGTTAAAAAAAAAAAAAGACTTGCAGCCCTTCCTTCTGCTATGGCGAGTTATAGAAATAGAGAGAAAAAGATGCCATGACCTTCCTGAATTTTTCATTCTTCCTGCTCCGAAAGATTACTGTTCACGGTAGAGTTTGAAGAGTTGCTCCTCTTAACCTGAAATTCAAATGAGCAACAAGAACTTATGTTGTTAGTCTAGCATAGCTTTACAAATGCAGCTTGCATTTGCTTACAAATGTTGAACTTATGTGTCTGACTAACTGCATGTCACATGAGAAACAAGTGCAAAATACCTGGAAGAGTAGATAATACCGAGGAGGCTAAATAAGCATGCCAACTGTTTGGTAATGTCAAATTCAGATGTCTTCTCTTCTCTAGATATAAAAGAGATGGATCGAAATTTACAATATGTAGACAATGTTTGTAGCGCAAGAAGAGAATTTAACACACCCAGCATTACCCAGACCCAGGGGCTTAGACATTCACTTGATTTACAAAACGTGTCAACATAGAGGTTTTATTGCATGCTAATATAGGAAAATATATTTGCTTATTGACTTTTTCTATGAATTACAGCCAAAGTATTAATGAGAACAAGTTGGATTGCTGAATTGACAAGCCATCATAGTTGCACCAGAATTTGAAGAAACTGGTATGCTAAATGCAGTAAAGTTTAAATCATTTGATGCATTGATTTACCTTTATGAATGCAGGTTTTGTCCAGCAAAAGACAACTTTAGAGAACTGATGATGTACTCTGCATAAGGCCAGCACTGGAATATTATTTAATTATGACATGGAGGCTACAACATTGACAGACACCATAAGATGCTCCAATTTTAAGCCTTCATAGGCATTATAGGCCGATAGGTGGTTCATTTATAGAGTATTACCTCAGAGTTCTTGATGTTTGTGTGGTAGGCAGTTGGCCGAGAAAAACCCTAATTCCAAGTTTTCTGTATGTTATATTAGTACCTTGGCTATCAGTGAGAGGACTTGGTTGCAAAATTCCAACAAGAGGAGAAAGAGAGATAATACACAGAACAGAAAGAGACAGAGAAAGAGAAGGAAGAAAAGCAAGAAACTATAGAGAAGAGAAAACAAATAGAGTTGGAGAGAATAAGATTTCTATGTTCAAACTCCAAAACTAACAATGAAGGAGCACAATAATAAAATATATGTGGAGTTCTCTGATTTTGATTTAAATGAAAAATATTGAACAATAAATAACCCCTAAATAATAGGAAGCAAATGAAACTAAACAAAATTTCCAGCCCTGGCAAACTAACCAACATATAAATAGCCTTGAATCCTACGACTAAAATTTCATAGAAACCTAAATCAAAATACAAAGTTGAAGAATAAAAAACACAATTTCTTTATCCAAGGCTTCTTTATGACTGCATCAGAGGTGTAGCAAAGTGAAAACATAGATGCTGTTCTCTTAGGGATAGAGAAATAGTATTTTAGTTTATCACCAGTAAAGAGTAATACCGATAACTGATAGTAATACCGTGTTTCATTATCTATCATCAAAACTTCAATAACCTTGCAAGGAACTTGTTTCCTTCCTTTATTCAACAGGTGGGCAATGCAATTTGGCGGCTAGCTGAAATCTTGTTCATGGATACACCTATATGATAAACCTCACACCCCCGACCTTGTTTTGTATCCCATCAGACTTCCTATCCTAAAACTTCAGTCCTCAGTCTACATCTAAAAGCAAAAACATCTATGCGAAATCAGAGAAACCGAAAAAGAAGCAATTAGACTTGATAACTTAACATACCAGATGATGACATTACACAAAAAAAAAAAATTAAAAAAAAATACGAAGATGACATGATTTAAAATTTTAATAAAAATCATATATCATTTAATAAAAATAAAAAAATATATATTTTGTATTTTTCATATTAAATTTTACATGTAAAACACAATATAAATATACAAATTATTAGTATTTTACGCAATACAATTATATAAATTCTTAAGTTTACATGCAATTATAAACACCACAATCTCATGGCTTGCATTGATAACTTAGGTTGACTCGGCCATCTTGATTATACTCATTTTACATATGGGTTCATATGTATATGCATTGAAAACAATTGAATGCTTTAACAAGGCAGACAAGAAACAATAGAAAGCAAGCTACAGGGGAATGAAGCATTTTTGCCATTCTTCATTCTAGTTACTATATCAGCGTTGAAGAAACTACGTTGTCATTCAAACATAAGCTTATAATATTAAGCAGTAGAAGAAAGAATAAACAAGTAAATTAATAGAAAACGGGAGCAAACCAAAATTTCTGTTTAGAATAAGGCTGAAAATAGTTTCAGTGTCTCAAAAAAATTCCCAACAGCAAATCCATTAGGGAAAAAAAAAAGGGAAACCAGAGAGGGCCAACTTATCAAAATTAAATTTAAATCTAACATTTTTTTAGCCGAATCTTAACAACAAAAAGAACAGCAAAAGCAATCACTCACAGAGCCATCACTAACTAATGTTCGCCTTGTATGGTTTCTTCCTAAATCGATCACTTCTTTCAAATCTCTGATTACTAGACTATAGCCAATCAAAAATAATCAACGAGACAAAGAGAACTATTGACAAGCGAGGATCCAGAGTTAACCTACAGCCTGAAGAGAGAAAGACTACTTCATTGTTTCAAACGCAAGAACTTTAAATGAACAGAAAAAGATGATCTTGGTCACTGGACATGTACATTCATAAACAAGGATCATCTAGCAGGAATATTCTTCTAATAAAACGTTGAATTTCTTATTCCTAAACAAAAAAAGTTATATAAGCAATTAGATGACACAGCAATAACTAATTTCATTTTGCCGTATCATGTATAAATACAAACAATCTCTAGATCAAGGGTAACTACAAATCACTAGGGACAGTTCTGTAAATTTTCAACAAGTGAATACAATGTAATTACATTTACAAGCCGAACTTCTTTGGTCTTAGATAAGTAGAAGAACCCTGCCGCAACCCAGGCATTGAAACTTGTTGCTGCTGCTTTGCTCTCTGCTGTCTCTCCTTCTTTTTGCCTTCTCTCTCTGCCTCGGCTTGCATCTTCCTCAGATTTTCCATTTCCTCCTCCATGGCTGTTTTCTCCTCCTTCTGTTTTTTCTTATGCTCCAACAACGTTGTATCTGAGTCCTTCACAGAAAAGAACATGGGACCTAGTTCAGCCAGCCACTGAGGCTCCACTGCTGTAACGCACTGCATGTACTCCTTTGCTGTCAAAATCAATTCATGATAAACAACATATTCCGGAGTATAACCTAAACCATAAAGAGCACTGCTCGGGTGCAAATGGCATGGCATTCCATTCCTGCTATTAACATACTCCCCTACGCCCTTTAATCTAGCAGCATTGTGAAAGTATGCAGAACAGATGGCTTTCCTGACAACATCCCAATCATATCCACAGGATGTTAGTGGGATTTTCAGTGTCTTCAGAATATCTAATAGTTGAGATCTCACCTCTCTGGCTTTCCTTAATCCTTTAACATGCAGAAAATGGTCATTACACCAGTCTCCACGATATTGATTAGCTTTCCATTGCTGATAAACATTAAGCAATGTCAAGTGATCAGATTCTGGTACAAAAAATTTTTCTCTTGCTGCATCACTCTCCTCCGCTCTATCCTTAGGTCGGAAGAACACTGATGGGACTGAAAGCATTGAAACAATGGTCAAAACCTCATCCAAGCATCCTAACTGTTCACCCATCAATAGCATCTTGGCAAGCGGGGGATCCAATGGGAACTCCACCATTTTCCATCCAATTTCAGTCAAGCCCCCAACATTGTTAAGTGCGCCCAAGACCCATAACTGGTACATAGAATTAAGGATATTTTCCTGGGGTGGTGGATCCATGAAATCAAAATCCAGCAAGTTGTCTATTTTAAGAGACTTAAGCAGCAACACCACGTTGCCAAGATTGGTCCTCTGTATCTCGGGTACAGGAGCAGGCAGCATCTCATTTAAGTATGCACTCTCCGTATACAACCTATAACATGTGCCTGGCCCAGTTCTACCAGCACGTCCTGCACGCTGGTCAGCAGCAGCATGACTCACAGGGAAAACTTGAAGAGCATCCATACCCATCTTAGGGTTATAGACTTTCATTTTACCATAACCAGTGTCAATAACATAAAAAATTCCATCTACAGTCAAGGATGTCTCAGCAATGTTAGTGGCAACAATGCATTTGCGAGCTCCATCTTCAGCCTTCTGGAAAATCTTCGCCTGCAAATCAGCTGGCAACTGGGAGTATATTGGGAGTATTAGAAGCTTAGAAACCCCCTTCTTTGTGGAGGAGATGAGCTGTTCTATTCGTTCTGCAAGGGCATAACAAGCTGCCTCAATCTCATCTTGGCCAGTCATGAAGATGAGGATGTCACCTGGAGCACTGGTGATGTGAATGGTCATGGCCTGCTTAACTGCAGCTTCAACATAATCCTCACAAGGAGTCTTGCTGTACAAAATATTGACAGGAAATGTTCTACCAGGGATGTGGAAAATTGGTACACTGCAAAATTTGAAAGGATAATTATTTATACCGGATTGATTAGAGGCAGAAGATGCCAGCATATGTCGATATTAAGATATGAGCTTACCTTCCAAAAAAATTTGAAAATTTCTGTGCATTTAGAGTTGCGGAGGTCACAATAAGCTTGAAATCGCGGCGTTGGGCAACCACCTTTTTAAGTATTCCAAAAAGCACATCCGTGCTTAGTGATCTCTCATGTGCCTCATCCATCACAATGACGCTGCAATAATTGCAAAATCGAAAGTAAATAATATAGGTTTTCCCACTAATTCATTTGTTGCAATTGGGATAGACAAGATAAATTAAGAAGTTTCTCCATACCGATACTTGTCAAGATCAGCATCTTTTAATGTTTCACGAAGGAGGATTCCTTCAGTCATATACTGTAAAGTTGAAGAAATAAAAAGGTTTAGATTGTCATATCAGAAGAAGACACAGAAACATTGGACAATGCTCCCAACAATTAATTGGAGCAACTAATAAATCAATTGTAGACCAAGATAATGGAAAGATGGCCAAACTGCATGAACACACACACACACAAAACTTGGTGCACTCCTCATCCAAGAAGACAAGAATTTAAGCAATCAAGATTATATTACGTGTATAAAGATTTTAACATTTGGTTTTTAATGTAAACTCAACAACTCACCTTAATAATGGTGTTTGGCCCAGTAACATCTTCAAAACGTACGGCATAGCCAACTTTATCACCCAACTCAGTGTCCATCTCTTCACTAACTCTTTTTGCAACACTCATAGCAGCAACACGCCTAGGTTGGGTACAACCAACTATACCATTCATAGTGTACCCATCTTCTTGAAGATACTGTGTAAGTTGAGTTGTTTTTCCAGAGCCAGTTTCACCCACAACAACAACTACCTGATTTTCTCGAATCACCTGTCAATCATATCATTAAAAATATAATAAGAGATGGTCAATAAAATACTTGATATTTTAAAAGTATAGTCAACATGATAAAATTTAGCTTTGAAAGTCAAAAAGAACAAAAATCCAAGAAATTAGAATGGAGAACTTCAACATTCCTTTCAGAAGGCTGCAGATATCTTGCATGTGCAAGATGGCTAATACCCACCACCTTAGAGTGCAAGTGGCTGTCTATTTCAAAATTAGACCAACATATACTAACGGAAAAATGTCAAACCTGAAGTAACTCATCTCGCACAGAATATATGGGCAAGTATTGACGCTGTTCTGCTATGCTTTTGGACGTTGCAAATTCACTAACAGCCTGCCCCTTTTTCAAATGCTGTGCAAATTTGGCATCTTCCTTGAAATCAATTTCACCATGTTCACCTACTTTAGCAGTGTCAGCATCAATCTAGCATCCAATGTAGAGACAAGTTACTTGATGAACTACATTATCAAATTTTTAGAAAAAAGAAAGGCAAAAAATTACATGTTATGAACAATACCTGTTCTGCTGTTTTCTCAACTCCAAGGATATCACCAAGCTTAGAGCCTGCCAGCTCCCAAAATCGTTGGCGTGACTTGTTCATGCTTTGCTTCTCATGAATTTCCCTAACCAAGGTAGATCCTTTGCGCGAAATTATAGCCATATCTGATGTAGGATCTTTTATGGGCATGATTGGCTCTGCTTGTTTGGTGAAAACAATTCTTCCATCCAAGAATGGAGGTTTTGTATCTATGACAATGAGAGATATATAAAGAAGTTTTAGCTAAAAGTACAAAGCATTTCATCAATTAACAGAGATTATAAATATTCACTTACCATGTACAAGAAGAATCACCTTGCGTTCGTCCTCATCATCAAACTCGGTTTGCACCTCAGTACCTCTAACAGCTCCAGATCTCAAAAGCTGCCGGTCTTCCCACTGAGCATTATCAGCAGTAAGCTGAGACAACTTTTTGCTCTGAGCAAGCGACATCCTAGTCCCATCTCTTCGAACCTGTTTATGAGATGACACAAGTATTAGAAACCATTGTATTCTACGAAGGACAACAAATAGAAAGGAGCCCAAGAATGGTAAAAAAAAAATCAATTCATATCAATGCCTAGAAAAGTGGGGAGGGGGAATTATTTTCACCAAAAGGCAATCATGAAAGGAAACATAGTAGACAAAGATAAGCACACTTCACATGGTTTTACATAAGCACTCAACCCATTCACAAAAAGAAAAAAAAAAAAACAAAGTTAAATAAATAACTGGTGACAAAGATAAGCACACTTCACATGGTTTTACATGAGCACTCAACCCGGTCACACACACAAAAAAAAAAAAAAACTGGTTCATTAGTCAATCTCTACCTTTACAAAAGACCACTTAAATACAACTTGCAAAAAGTACCAAGTTATTATCACCGGTCATCATCAAGTACAAGTAGCATCAATTTAACCCTAAGATGCATGCAAATAGGAAAACAAGCCTCCCCCTTAGGAAAACATCTAATAGAAATTTCATCTAATATTGGTACATTGCACCTACAAGCTATTGAACTAAAACAAACTTCAACCTTTGTTCTCAAGAGACAACACTCACCACATAGTAAAACTAGCCGATGGTCAGTTACTCAATTTGCAACAATACACTATAGTTTCAGACTCCAAGCAAAACAGAGAAGCAGCAATAACTAGCACGAAGATAAAGAAGATTAGCATGTTCAAACTAAGACAACTGAAGCCAAGAAAATAAAAGACAATTAGATAAAAATTTATCATTCCTATTATTTCAATATCGAAACATTGAGGGAAATAAAACAACAAAAGAACAGCCACTCCAGTTTTAAATCTCTATGAAACATTTGGCTCTAACCACACTGGCTTGAAAATTAATAAACAAAAGGTGGAAAAATACTATCTTTATAAAATTGTCTTACTTCTTATATCTTATCACTAATGTGAAACCCAGAACAAGAAGAGAGATCAAATATTACTGTTCCCTTATTACACAATCATTTAGCCATTATTCTGAACTCAAAGATGTAAAACATTAGGAACCCTAAGATCATAAAAATTATTGATCATTGTCTAAGAATACATGTCACTATTGTCTTTATTTATTTCAATGTAATAGCTAAACCATGTTAATATCCAAATTTGCACAAACGCAGAATATGGTTAAATGAAACAATAGTCATAAGATCAAGCATCCAACATGTTTATCACATGTGACATAACCATGGAATATTACACGTCCATTGAACATCAAACTACATTTTAAAAAAAAAAGCACCAAAATAATACCAGTCTTTTGGCCAAGTCAGCTTCTTTCTTTTGGAATGAAGCTTCATCCCCTAGAAAAAATGACGAACTATCAGCATCGAACATGGTGTTTCCTTCTTCTCTATCATACCTATGCAAGGACATTCCAACAAAAAAAGCTAAGATAACTTTAAAACAGCATGGATAAAACCCACAAATGAATGAGAAAATCACTAATCAATGAAGGTCAAAAGCCACCACATTAAGGCCAAATAATGGGACTTTTATCACAATTTCAAAGTCAAAAAAGGAAAAATGATATTCCTTCATGCTTGGAAAACAACTCCAACAATTTGTTTGAAGCCAAGAGTAACTAAGCAAACGAAAATGGCATATAGAGCACTACTGTTGTATGACATATTTTCCTAAGCTGCTAACTTCAGAATATTGCCATTTTCATCATATAATTATGATAAATTTTAATCCCAAATGCAGAAAGAAACCCTAGGATCTTCCATCTTAGGATGAACTGAATACATAATTTACCATGCACGGTCAAAATTGTACTCCATCTCCAAGCGCATACTTTCTGTAATCTCGTAATTATGTTCCTCTGCTGAACCTGTCTTATCTGCTTCATCCTATATAAATTAAGGCATAAAATTAACATGGACAGAAGCAAAAAGATTTCTATAAAGAAGAAAAAGATATAGAAAAAAAAATTAGAAAGAAACTACTCTGAAAAGATTGCCTGCAATTACCCACTATCAACTAATAGTTCATTAGTTTCCAGAAATATAACTTAAAGATTAATATTTAAGAGGGGGAAATAGAGAGAAAAGAAAAGGAAAGGAAATAAAAGGACAATGACATATACTACCTCAAATGATTGTGAACTTTCCCTTGAAAAGCTAAGCTGATGAGATGTCCGACCATATCTAGAACTTGAAGATTTCACTGATGCTCCAGAGGCTCGTATCGGAACTGGAGAAGGAGATGCATGGTCCCAGGGAGAGGCAACGCCAGCTGTACCAAATTTCAGCATGAAGTTAAAAAATTGTTTACTCTCTTTACCTAAAAATAATGAAATAAGAGAAGACAGAAATAATCAATACCATCAATGATAAGAAAGGCTTTCTAGTGAATAACATACCACTTGAATGAGGAGTACGATCTCCCATCCATGGAGAAACTAATCTAGCATCAGGAGAAGCCCCAACTAACATTGGAGATGGAGAAGGTTGATGGCGCCTGCTACTACCAGAGTAACTTTCCCGGCGTGGAGTATCTTCCCATTCCCATCTCCCATCATCCCAATCAGATCTGCCTATAAAAGATTAAGATATGAATATCAACATAATTACCCTTACTCCACTTCAGCAAAGATGCCAAAAATATAGCAAATCATAAATCCAATAGAGTACAAACTCTAACTGCAAATGAATTCATAAGCTATCAAGAACTTTTTCAAATGAAATTATGTCTTATAGTTCCAAGTAATCAAGTTTGGATAGATTAATCCATCTTCGCCATTCCACCCAGCCTCAAAAACATGCACAAAATAGAATTTTTTTGCACGACAATCCAAATGCAAATGACATTAGTTCTAAGATATAGTATCCAAACATGCACATCCACTCTATGAAGTATCACATACCAGGTGTCCTCCTACTTTCATATCTACTTCGGCTTCTTCCATAATCTTCTTCAAATCGACCATGAGTGTCTCTTCTATTATCATAATAGTGCCTTTTTCTTGTATAGCTGTTCTCACTTCTAGAATCATCTCTGAAACCTCTTCTCTCTGTACCACGCTCATCTTTCTCATACCTTGGACTCTTAGAAGAGACACCATGGGAACTCTGACTAGATGACGCTGGAACCTTCAATTGAAAGAAAAATCAGATTCATATAAGGTTTGCTGTGTTTGCAAAATAATAATAATAATAATAATAATCATAATAACGGAAGCAAGTTGTTCACTTACATCTGAACTCCTATGTTCGCTTGAGCGAGGAGTCCCAAATGTATCACCATTGCCTCGTCTATCTACAGTAATTGTACTTTCTGCAATGTAGGAAAAACAAAATATAATTAGATTATGAGAATCAGCTTCAAGAAGGGAATCAACGAAAAACATACACACTGTAAGAGCACAGAAAAACGAACACGTCCTTCAGACAGAAGAGAACCTCAAAGCTTGTGAAAGAAGGTGTATATTATCAGAATCACCACATTTGCCTCCCCCCCCCCCCCCCCCCCCCACACCCCAAGCCCCAATCTTTGCTTCAAAACAAAAATGGGCTTGGATACAGAAAATGCTGTGTTAAGAAAGCATGAGTTGGAAATCCATCTGAATTCTTAAACGTAAATGCTGGTCATTTACATGCAAGCAACAGCTGTGTCACTTCCTCTATAAGCTAGGAATACATCTTACTATGCCTCAAAGAGATAGGTTACCCATTACACAGACAAAAATGCACATGTACGCATAAATAATTAAATCTAATTCTGCAAAATATATTAGCCAGTTTGTGGAGAGATCGAAAAACAATCAGAAATCAGAAGCTCAGATAATGCCTGGCCTATAGGCTGGCTATACACCATAAAAATTCTTTCTGTGCCACCTTACCTAGAAACTCCATGCATGCACTTAAACATGCAAGTTTTTTTTTTTTTTTTTTTTTTTTTAAGATGAGTGAATGTGAGCAATAAAATCTTCTAATAGTCAGCATGTGATGATTTAACTGAGTATGCTGCCATATTCTATAAGAGTTTTACATGAAAATCAGGAAAATAAAATAAGGGCACAGTTCTTTCATTAAAAACCAACCATAACCTTAAAATCTTGCTAAGCTTATTTGACACAAAATAAAATAAATAGATTACCTGCATTATTTGTTGTGCTGGCTGCCTTATCACGATAGCGTCTGCTAGTGTGGCTGCGGGTACCATTTGTAATAGTACTTTTAGTTTCTTCAACTCCAGAAGATTCAAATCCCTCATCTTCACCAATAGATGCCACAATGGAGGCGATTTTTTCTTTTGGAACCTTGAATCCACCATCAACTTTAGAACCTCCTTGCTTCTCATTGGCGCGAATGTCCAAACCTAATAAATCATAAAAATTTAATCGACAAAACAACAGGACTAATTTTTTGGAGGGAGAAAATGCCTAGAAGAGGCACTCAATTGGAAGTTGTAATTGTACCCACAACTTCAACAAGGAAGAAGAAAAAAACTAGGTGGCGTAGATTAACTACAAATGTGAAAACACCACGTAAATTTAGGCAACATTGCAAAGATGCTATTATTTTTTCTCAGCCAAAGAGAGAATAGACTAGAATCATGATAAGATAGAAAAGAAAAACAGAGAGGCAAAATACTCTCAAGAACAAAGTTGTCCAAAACAGCAGATACACTCCATGATAGCAACTATCACCACAAAAACTGAATTAGGGCACAAAAAACACAACTTAAAAGACAAACCGCTATCTAAAGAAACAGATAACAACTTCAATAAGTAGAAGAAAACCAAAAGCTTCACCTAAAAATTTCATCATCAAGATATAGACATGATCCTTCTAGACACACCAAATTTTGAAAGTGAAGCGACAAGACTGTTATCTTCTCTAAAATTATTCTCAAATAAGACTATTTGAAACATAATAATAGCTAATTATACATTTTACTTCCCAAACTGCAAGACACTGACCGCAGCCTGTTTGATACCAACATTCTTCAGAAAGAAGATACAATAAGACTAAAGTGATAAACCAAAATGCTAAAAATCATAAATGTAAAAACAGCAAAAAACACCAATGCAGATAGTTAACCCTCACATTCTGTTCCACAATCATACTCCGGACAATTTAAAACTATCCTCCCATAGCATTAAATTGTAGAATGTAAAAAGGAAAAACAGCGCCATGTTTATGCCAAACATACCTAAAACAGACTTCTTGCTAGCAGGAGCTATATACTTGGGTCTATCCTTTGGAACAAACAATCCGCTGCCGCCATTGCTCACTTCAGGCTCCAACGTTTCTACCGTCTTATTCACATCAAAAGGCTGTTTTTAAACATTAAAAAAAATTCAAAATCCAAAACCTAAACTTCATATTTAAAAAAAATAATAACTCAATTTATAATTAACCAACCTCCATCGTCCAAGCTCACCCAAACTACGGATAATAATATAACCTGATAACACAATTAAATAACAAAATTTATACCAATTTATGTTAATGAAACCCTAATCATACTATTTTTTAAAGGAAAAAAAAAAAAACTCACTGTGATAGATGAAGCTTTCGTGGGAAAACAATAAACGAACAACCAAAAAAATTTAATGTTGAAAAAGTTATGTAAGATTTCAAACAAGAAAATCCTTACAAAAGCTTAAATCGGGAGAGAATCGACCGTCGACGATCTTTGAAGAAACCTTTTTATCTATTACCTGTTTTTTTTTTTTTTTGGGCTTTTATAGGATTCGAAGCTGCATCCAGAAACCGACTTTTGGAGTAATAGAGGAATTGGAAATGGGTTCGGTTGTGGTAGGCTTATGACAAATTCGGCCCAAATTTTGAGTCCAGGTCTAGCTGAAACGAGCAGGAGAATCAAAACGATGTCGATTAAAAAGGAAAGATATAAAATAAACAAAGAGAGGGAAATAGTTGAGCAGTACATTGGGCCCAGCTTCAAACAAATGTGGACCGAAACAGAGTTGTAATTAAGATCGGGCCCAATTCAGAAGGATATAAAATGAAAACAAAAAAAAAAAAAAAATTCTTAAGGGAAACTCCATGATAGGCCTCTTTCGTCTCGTTCATTTTTAAGGTTTGAATTTGAAATTTTGTTTAAATGAAGTTTTACGTTCTAATCGTTGAGCCTTAAAGACTTTATGCGGTTATGATATTGCCCGATCATCAAAATAAAAATAAGGGTATAAAAGACATAATCATATACTATTAGTATTATGCTTGGTATGGTGATTAAAAAAATGAAAAATTAAAATTAAAAAGAGGAAAAAATAAAAAAAAATGAAAAATAGATTTTTTCTTTTTATTAATGTACTTAGTTTATATTCATTATTTGTTAGAGTTGAAAAATAAAAATAAAAATTATATAAGTTTATCTTTATGATCTTTTTTAAATTAAGTAAAAAGAAAAATTTTTAAATGATAGAATGATCTTATAAATATGGAACAGTTACTTATATTTTTCTCATTTTTTCTGTACTTTTCTATTTAATTTAAAATAATTTATATTTTTAAATAAGTGTGAAAAACAATAATTTTTTATTTTTTTAATTTTCTTTCTTATCAAACATATTCAAAAAAAAAATTTTACTTTTTCACCCTTGTTATTTACCTTTCATTTTTCTACTCTACCAAACACACCTAAATTTTCAAAAAGCTTTTTCCATTTAATAAAATCGACTGAACTTCTTTTTCTTTTTTGTTTTTTTTATTAGTAAAAGGTTGAAGGTGAACCAACCAGGTCATTGACACGATATACCTGCTCCCGAGCTGTCGGTCATAAATTAGCCGTCACTTGAATGCCACTGCCAAAATTTTCCACGATTAGCCGTATAGGGTTCAATCAACAATGAAATGATAGGGAATATTCATTAGTTTGTGGTTTAGTGGCAGACGCCAAGTCTTCTCTTATGTTTTTATTCGTTGTTTTGAATTTAGCAGCCTTTCATTACAAACATCCTAAAGTAGTTAATCTTTCCCTAACCTGCGCATGATTTGCCTTACCCACTTTCATATTTCAGTTCATAAGATATTTTTTAATTATTGTCGGATACTTTGAAGATGAAATTTTAAATTAAAAAATGGATTTAGTTATTTGATATTTGAATTTATTTAGTAATTTTAATAATTTTTTAATTTTAATTATAATTTAATGAGCATATAATCAAATGACAATCTGGAAAATTAATTTATGAAGCTAAAAAATTTTGTTGATACACAAGTTATTTTTCATATTTTTTTCATTGCCAAAAATACTTTCATATTTTTTATGAATTTCAATTATTACATAAATTTAGTCTATCTATTTTTTTTTGAAATTACACGCATAATTAAATTCATAATCAAATATTATATTATTAATAATCAACTAATAATTTTTTAAATATTAGAAAACACCCATCCATTAAATTTAAGATAGTATAATTAAAATTAGCCATTTTGTTATTTCAAAAAAATTAAGTATTTATTAACAATCATATGATTTATTGATAAATTACTAAACTTTAATTCCAATAATTAAAGAAAAAAATTAAGCATTTCACACCACACATAAAAATTTCAGAGTCATGGTCGCTATTCAAATGGGAAAACCAAAAAATCCACAATAACTTTAAAATCTTTTTGAGGTATGTAGTTGACATTTTGCATTAATTTCCAAATTTTGTTGGTGAGAGCAATGTAATGAATTAAGTGATAGTGTCAATACACCTAAACACCACCAAATATCCCCTTCAAGGCAAAGACAAATTGGCATTGTCCTTAAAACATCATGACAGCAAAAGATGACCTTACGCTTGTTTAGTTTTTTTTTTTTTTTAATGTACTTGTTGTTTTGTAATTGTTTTTTTATAGTAAAGCTGAATCTTCATTTCCAATTGACAATTGCTCTTCCAATTAGCTGTCTTCCTTTATTCAATCATTTTTTTATCTGATAGCTGCCACTTTCAAATTAGCTGTCTTCCTTAATTCAATCATTTTTATTCTATAGCTACCACTTCTATCTATATGTCAAATCAATATCGTTGGTACCTTGATTATCGTATTACAAGCTGACTTTTATTCCTATGAAATTAGGTATAGAAATAGAAATTATAACTATAATTAAATATCTTTAAAATTATATTGTAGACATTTCATTTCATTTCATTTGAAGTTTAAATTAGTTCGATTTTGTCTAATTCAAAGTCCAAATGTTCAATTTTTTTTTATTTCACTTTTTTATTTGTATTCTTTAATTTATAATTTTAAGTTGTATTTATTTTTTTTATTTTCTTTATCTTTATTTTTTTACTTTTATTAATCTTTTTACTCTTATTTAGATATTCTTATTTGTTTATCTTTACCATTTACCTTTTTTGATTTATCTTTAGTTATTTATTTATTCTTTTATAATAAAAAGTACATTTAAAAAAAAAAAAATTTTGACAATCACAAAATGATTAAAGAAATTGAGAAATAAAAGAGATTTTATCTTTAGGTGATAATTCATGTTTTAAAGTTAAAATTGAGTCAGAATTCTTATAGATAAATTCTAATTCTTTTAAGGATTATTATTTTTTGGTGATAATATATAATTTTTAAGAGTTTAATTCCTATTTAATTTAGAAAACTTATAAGTCAGTGTAATATTCTTATAAGTAGTCTAGCATTCAATAGTAAAACATACAACAATCATGAAGGAAAATTTGAGAGTAAAAAAGTTTTAGACAATTCAAGTTTAAATTTTAGGCTTTTTCAATTTTCGACAATTTTTCGATGAGATTCCTTGACTCCGACAAGATTTTTTATTGCAGTGACATTTTTCGATGAACGTTGAAGTTTTCAACAGGATTTTGACAATACTTTCAGATTTTGACTACGATTCTCAATTTTCTCAAGCATTAACCTAAACCAACCTAACTCAAGCGTCAATCCAATTGCAAACTTGATCCATAGTGCTAGGATCCAGCAACTCACATCTCACAAACCTCAAGTCAAGCCATGCATTGAGCCACCAAGCCATCATTTGTTTCTGTAACTGAGTTGCTGTCAAACCCAAGCCCAACCGTTAGCTTTTTTGATATTTTTTATTTTTTTTTATTTTATGTAAATTTTATTTAAATTAATTTTTGTTAAAAATATTTTTAAATAAATTTATGAATCCTACAAACTATTGGAGAAATTTTGAAGTTTAAAATATTTTTTGAAATATGAATTCTATTAAATTATTGGAAGATTTCAAAATTAAATTAAATTAAATATTTTCGAATTAATCATACTAAATTATTAGAGGATTTAAATCTCAATTAAATCTTGTCAAACTATTTAAAGAATTAATGATTTTTATAAAAAATAAAATTTTCAATTCTATCAAACTATTGAAAAATTTAAATTTTTTAGTTAAATATTACCAAACTATTGAAAGATTTAATGTTTCTTTCAAACAAATTCATAAATAAATTTTTAAATAAAAATCCTACTAAACTATTAGAAGATATCCCTCGAAATAAAATTTTACTAAATTATTAAAAAATTTTATTGATTTTGAAATTAGTTAATTTAAAAAAAAAAACACAATAAATCTGACGATAGAGTCTTTTCATAGTGAGACACTAGTCTTCAATGATACTTTTAATAGGAAGAAATTTTCTTAAATTACTATCAAATTATTGGAGTAATTTTAACAATAATTCTTAATATTAAATTTACTTGATAAAATTACAAATATATTTTAAGGCTTAGATAACACAAAATCAGCTTGTCTCATCTTTTGGATGGACGTTGTGAAAATGCTATAATTTTTCTCATACGTAACCGTACTCTTGAACCTAATTTTAGTTTCGTAAATTAGAATCTACATTTTTAAAAATACTCAAGTTAAGTTTGAGATCTTTTTTTTAAAAGGAATAAATTCAATTAAGTAACCAATTGTACATAAATTAAAAAAAATTGGTAGTAACTCTTTTTATTGTATCTAGTGATAAGTTTATGGAATTATACGTTATGATAGATATAACAAATTAAACAAAGAAACATATTTTAATTTTAATTTTAATTTTATTATTATAAAAAAATATAAATAAATCATATATGAAAACTCATGCAAAACAAATCAGAATTCAAATCTATAGCCCATATGTGAGCTTTTGTAATTGTAATCGTAATACAAATTATTATCTAAATCCACTTTTAATTATTAATTAATAAAATTAAATCAATAAATAATTAAGCAGCCAATACATAAAATGCATCCAAATGTTAGTCATTTTTAAATTTAAAAAATATATAAAAATATGTTTTAAAAACTTTGTCATTGATGTGTAAACAACCTATCATGTGTCAAGCAAACAATATATTTGAGATTGTTTTAATATATAAGTATTGAAGTATTATTGATTTTACTTTCGTGTCACTAAAATTTTTCTATACAATAGATAATTAATAATTTACAATTCACTAGGTTAAGCATTGCATTTAATACTAGGTTTTTATATATGTGCTTCGCATGATTAATTTTAAAACATAAAATAATGTAAATCAAATAATCACAACAAATGTGCAATGGAAATTGACAATATGGTTTCAAGCTTTATACCAACAAAAGTATAATAATTTATTCGTTAAAATGTATAATAATTTGTTCTTTCAGTACATGAAATTGAAACATGAAAATGTTAAACTAAGCTATCTATGAAAATATACCATTAAAAACCTCTTAGTACACAA